GAGTGACTTTCCAGAAAGATTTTCAGTAGGCTCATTCTCCAAATTTTTGTAAATAAAATCCTACCATAAGTATCTCCTTATGCCTTTAATCAATCATTTCGGCTTTGAGATTCATCCATAATGTTGTAAATAGCCCTAGTTTATTTATTTTCTTGGGCATCCAGTCTTATCTTTTGCAAATATACTATTTGTTTATATACTTTACTATTAATGATCATTTATGTTCTTCCCAATTTTGAATTATTAAAATGCTCTTAAAAACATTTTTGTATGGAGGATACATGTGGGATAATGCTCATCATTGTCTTGTTCCTCATTTCGGACTATAAAGGGAAAATATCCAATGTGTCATAATAAAGAACAATATTTGCTACAAATTTTTTTTAAAATACCCTTTACCAGGGTAAAGAGAGATGTTTCTATTCCTAATTTTCTAAGAGGACCTTTCTTCTCCTAGTTTTCTAGTCATGAATGGGTATTAAACTTGACAAATGCCTTTCTTTCATCTAATGAGATCTACATATGCTTTTCTCTTTTAGTCTTTTTTATTCTTTTGTAGTGAGAGCTGTTGTGGCCCAGATCTGCCTTAGCACCCCATTTATTCCAACGATCTCCAGCTGCCGCCATCTGCAGTTCTCTGCCATCAGACGCAGGCTGCAGAAGGCGGTTCTTTCCCTGTGCAAGGCGGGCTTGAAGCACATGGGAATCGACCCTTGATCTCTCTTCCCCCTGGAGTCAGCAACCCTCAACCAATGACTGACAGGAGCTAGTATTTAAATATTCCAGCTTCCCCTTCGGTTGAGGATAACTACAAGTAGGTGTTTTAGACTATTTGCAGAGTTCCCCCAGGGCATTAAACTGTAGTTGCTTGCAGTGGTAGCTAGTTTGAAAACACATTCTGTCTTATTTTGTGTGTGTGTCTTACTTCCTTCTCCTCTATTGTGGCTCCTGAACCTCCTAACTAAATTATTTAGACTCAGATTTTTGTATTTTGTCTGCTTTGAGGGAAATCCAACCTAGGGCTGTTGAGAATTTCATTGTTGATTTTTCCAACTTTGCATTCCTGGAATAAGCCATGTTTGTTCCATGTGACATGGAACATATTGCAGGTTTGCTTTGCTATGATTCCGTGGATAATTTTGCAGCTATAGCCATGAGTTGAACTAACCTGTAACTGCCCTTTCTCTCATACTGTCATTGTCAGGCTTCCTAGTGAGGTAATGCTAGCCTCCTAAATTAAATTGGAGAGTGTAACATATTTTTCTATTCATTGCAATAGTTTATAAAAGACTAGAATTATTACTTCCTTGAATGTTTAAAGATATGTTTGAAGCCATCCATGGCCCCATATATTTTATAGAGTTTATCTTCCATCCTGTAGAGTATATACATATGTATCTTATTAAGGCCTCCAAGGTACTGTTTCTTCCTGATCTCCACAGCTTATCAATAGGACATCCTAGGGGCTGATGAGACCGACTAAATTGTTGCTTACAACAATTGGAGAAATGCAACTTGGAGGTGAGATGATAAAGGAGTATTTTCATTCCTTCCAGGTTCACCTAAAATCTCTATTTAAAATTCTAATTGCAATAAAGTAGAAAATCACAAAATTATTAACTATAAGACAGGGGCTGGGCTCCCTGCCAATTTGCTCCCGTGAGTAACCCACATCTGGGCCAGCAGCCACAGCACTCCTTATGCCTGTTGTTGTCTGGACTGAAGACTCAGCGGCCTTCTGTACCATCCAAGGAAAAGGCAGATGCTTCATCTATGACTCTGATAGCATCACTATTTCTGCCTTTCCTCCAGGGACAAAACATTGTCATTTATTGACTGTTTTGGTACAGAGGAGAAATTCCAGGGCCCTTCACATACTTACAGCTACTGCCCTACAGGACAGAGAACCAAGGTAGAATTTCTTCCACCTCTAAAAGTACACACTTCAACTGTGTTTCTTGGAGCTGGAGAGATAATTACGGGTGGGTATAGTGGTCTTATTGGGAGTGTGGACTCTGACAGATACTCTACTAACCCCCTACTCCCTAAGTCTGTGACTAGGGCACTCCAGGGACCCTAGGACATAATACTAGGTCTGAGCCGTGGTCTGATGACACAGCGAGGTGTGACTATTTCTCTTTCTCGGACACTCTCTCTCAAGGTGCTCTCTTTGAGTAATATTCCCAGAATGCACACGGGATCTTATTGTTGGGACCAGTGGTCTCGTTGGTGGAGGTGTTCTAGGCCCAAGAAGTAACTGTGGTGGTGGGTTTGCTTGGGGAGTGTGACTTATTGTGACAATTCCATTCTCAAGAAATGGAGGATTTTTCTTATAGGGTCACACAAATCGAGTGTCCTTCTGCGTCCTTCCTAGAGACCGCGTGGTCAGTCAACCGTTCAGACTGGAGCAGCTCAGCGAGGAGCGCCTCTGCGGGCTGGGCCCGGCGCCGGCTCCGCGTCTGCGGAGGACCTGCCAGTTGGCCGCGGGGGCGCGGACGGTCCCAGGACAGGAAGGGGATTCGGACGGTAATAAGGCTTGTACCAAGGTAAGGTAAGAAAGACACAAACCTAAAACAAAACAAAGCACAGAGACTGCAGACGCCAACGGTGGCCCAGCGCCCGCAGGCGGCACGGCCGCTTCTAGCGGAGCACAAATCATGCAGCTTTTCCTTCTCCGGATCATTTCTGACTTAATGGTTTTTAATAACTTAAGAGTTTAGAACTCAAGTTATTGTTTTATATTATTTATTCTCATTTAATTATGTTTGCTATTTGTTTTCTGCTTTGGAGTAAATACACCTGTGATTTTTATTTCAAATTGCGGGTTGTAAAATCAGTTTAATGTTTTGCAACAAGCAGGAACAAAGAAGAAAAAAGTAGAACAAAATAAAAAATATAATGCATTGTATGCACAATATAAAATTAAGTATTGTTTTGTGATACTTTTGTTTCTTTTCATATGCAGTGAAATACAATATATATTCTTTAGATTTAACTCAACCTGGCAGACAGCTTATATTACGCCTGTTTATTTTTAATCTCATGTTTGATTCCTAGTTGGGGCATGGAGACAATCATACCTTTCAAAGAATGCACGCATGCTATTTTTCTTTGAGCCTTACCTACGTCAAAATGATTTTATTTTTTTTAACAATGAAAACATAATTTACATATAAAATGATTTTATCACAATCTTTTCCCTTTAAAACACTGTACTCTTCTTTAATCCATTGTCTTCTGGTATTTGTACCATGGAGAACTCTAATATCTTACTTTCTGATTTTTTGCTAACTGTGTGTGCGTGTATACACGCTGTAGCTCCCCACCCGACACCTTCTATACCTTTTTAATTACAGTGCTTTGCCAACAAGTATCTAGGAGTGAGACTCTTTTCTCTCAATCTGCCTGTTCTTTCAATTTATATAGTCATGCTTTTAGTTTAAATTGCTTTGTAATTACTGTGGCTTGTTCAGTGCCGTGCTCAAAGCAGCCCTGATTATCTTTCAACCTTTCCCTTTGCTCCTCAAAATTATCAACTGTAAATTAGCATTAAAATGCTGAGTAACCATCTGCTCCTATATCCCTGCCAACCTGGCCCTGGGAAGATTTACTGTTTTCCCATATGAGTCTTGCTAACAAGTCAGTCAAACTACATGGTAAGAGGCTGGGCTCCGGCAGAGCCCCGGCCTGCTCTCTCCTGGGCCTGGGCCTGGCTGAGGCTCTTCTCTCTGGCTGCTCTCCCCTCACTCTGCCCTCTTTCTCACCCCTGATCCAGCCGGGGAGGCTTCCCTTCAGGGGTCTTGCACAAGCCGCTCCCCTCCCGGAAGGCTCTGCTCTCTGACCCTCTCTCCACCGGCTTCTAGTCATTCAAGATTTGCGGAAATATCACTTCCTCAGAGCAGCCTCCTCTGACCTCCTAGTCATCCCCCTTTATATCACCCGACTGGGTTTTCTTCTTAGAACTTATCAGCATCTTATATTTTCTTGCCATTGAATGTTTACTGCCTGCCTCTCCCTAGAAAGAGGAAAGGACCTTACCTGTGCCATTGCCGAAACCCTGACCTCTTCAACTCCCGAATGGCTGAATGCTCCCTTAGTTAGTGAACAGTTCTAAAAATAATGTTATTTGGGCTTAATATTTAAAATTATGTGCACACATATTTTTTTTACCTTCACAATCTTAATTCCAAGATACAGTCACCAGAGTTTATGTATTATCTCAGATTACATATACCTCCTGCAATTATTTTTTCTTATAAAAACTAACACTGTTATATTTAATATTTTATTTTTTTATATAGGATCAATACCAGGGTCACTTATTTGAATGGTATCTATGTACCCATTGCAAAATTATATTAGTAACTATTCTAAAAATTCAACAAACATCATGCCATATCTATTATTCCATGCTATTTATAAAATATTTTAAGAAAATTTTTTGTGGACTTAAACATGGGTTTTCTTGGCCAAATATATATATATATATATATATATATATATATATATATAGTGTACTATATATATGTGTAGGCACCTTAACATATTTTCCTAAACATGTCTTGTGTTGAAGAACTTTAAGGCAAACCAATCCATAATTAAGACCTCTCAGTTGCTCAAAATAATTGTATTTAAGCATTCTTCTCTTAGGCCAACAAATCATCATCAAATCTCTTTCAAAGTCAATGAATATGAATGACCATCTCCATAAAACAAATACACATATGCAGAGATATGCATGTAATTTCAGTGAGTTCATAGACTCCACCCAGCTTATTTACTAACTTCGATTAATAGCTTCTGCTTTAGGTAATTTTTGTTATCTTATTTTATCTTCAAGTGTTCCATTTGCATTGTTTCATTTGTAAGCTATCTGTAAGTCTTTAAGAAAAAACCAAGTATTGGACTTGAATTAGAGTAAGCAATTTCAACTTCTTGTGATTCTCTCTTATGATAGACATTATATAACCTTGGTAACAAGGAACATTGAGAACATCAGATAACGTACTTTTCAATCTTTATTTATTTCCATAATTATGGTTACTTACAAAGTTATAGTCCCAGGGAGTCATAATATAAGGGAAAAACCACTAGAGGGTCTCCGTAATATGTCACAGTTTTTATTCCAATATTGAAGGTTCCATATTAACTTTTTGAGTTTGGAGCCCAGAGTGCCATGTTCTTTCTCAAAGTGGCCAGCAAATTGGACTTTTGGTAGCACAGTGGCAAATAAATCTTCATTGTTTTGGGCACTGACACAATGAGTTTAGTGAGAGTTCTTCCCGCGCTAGCACATGTCCTTTATTATGAGCATGATAAGCATCATTGGTACAGGTACAAATCTGTCTTGCTTTAGAACTGACTGATCTCATGACCTGAACTTTGGGTAAAAGTGCATTACATGGTAGAGTTTCCAAGATTGACTGAATTTGAAACAGTATACTAAATTATGCTTTAATGTATGTAATCTTTAAGGCCAGATAGAGTTAATAGATGATATTTATCTTACCATTATTTTATGCATTTTAAGTATTAAACTTTGAAAGAAAATACATTTATAGATTAATAAAATAGTGCAATCAAAACCTTTATTTATTTTTCTCATTAGACTGAAACAATAAACCAAATGAACAAGAAAAATGGCAATAAAAGATTTAGCATGAAACATTAATTCTCAGAAGATAATGCCAAGAATATCATGAAAATATGCACATTGCTTATGACTGAATTGCAGAGAATCAATGTGTTTACCTTTGAAAAGTAAAGGTACTCATAGCCTTCGAGCTTCATTTAGGATTGTAGGCTGGGAGCTGTTGGTCCCACACAGATCATCTTCTGGTTTTGTAATAAAAGAAAATGGAAGACTCTCTCTGGAAGGAAAACTGAGGGCACATCTCTCTAAAGCCACACCAAGTCCATGGTGTATGTGGAGCGCACCAATCGTTCCACCTGTCTTTCTTTGCCAGAGCAGAAAACAGGCTCTAAATAAAATATCTGAATTATCATAAATCTAAAAATAAGAGTGGAATATTTAAAATTATAATTCACTTAACTAGCGAAAACTGAGCACATTAATCTTCTTAGTCAGGGATCTGTAGTCATCTTTTGCATATTGTATTTAGCCAACAACCAAATTTTAATTTTTAATTAGGAGACATTAAAATATAATTAGCAGCAAATAACAGAATGACAAAGCCACGAAAATTCATAAGGTCAAAGGAAGCAGCATTTCCAGCCATAGTGAGACATAATCTTCCAGAATTTAGGGCACCGTGGATAGCATCGCCTTCCCCACACTCACCAGCAAGGCAAATTTTCTAGAAGCAACATCTTTTTTAACAATAGTAATAATGGTAATAATATAGGGACAGCTGTCACAACTAGAGCATGTTCTTCAGAATCAGGAGACCCTCAAACCTCAGCAAACACCATGTGTGAAGGAACATAGCCAACTCCAACGTGGCACAGGCAACAAAGTCAGTCCCTCCGTCAGAGACTGACGCAATTGTGAATGTGCATGTTCCAGAAGGAAGCAGAGGAGCAGAGACCACCTGCAGCTGCCAGACTGGCAGTGAAGCAATGCGCTATGGAAGTCACATGATGTGTGAAGTATCAATGGAAAACAAATGCTTTATCAAAATGTCAGTTGGTGGCCCAACATACAGATATTCGTAAGTATATATTTATATATATAATGATAAAAATCAGCTTGCATGAGGGTCATAGTACATCTACTTTGAAGTTATAGCACACATACTCTAAGCAATTTACAGAATTTGTCAGGTTTGCATATACAGGAATTGTGAAATGAATTAAAATACACTGAAATGTAGAACACTCAAAATGTATTTATATAAACCTCCCAGAATTGACAGGGATTGGCCATAATCAGCACTTGCCACCATTGAACAAGAACTGTAATCAAGAAAAAGAAGAAAAAATCCAAGAAAAAAGAGAAAATAAAAAAAATTCTTCCTTTTGCTATTCCTTATTTAAAATAATGTCTTCCTTGTTGACTTGCAATGTTGATAATTTTGTTCTTGCCCCCAAAGGGGTTTTGTTTGATGGTAGTTTATCTTCTGTTGCCTTTTGATCTCTGCCTGCAGATAATAGGGTCGTTTACTAGGAAATCGGTGATATCCATTGTAAATATTTACTATACCAAGGGACTTCAGGCCAACCCCTGAGCAGTCAGTGAAATGATGATTTTAGTCGCCAAAAGAAAAGGAAAAAAACAGGTCTTGCTGTTGGAAAATGTCCTATCACTCCACACTAATTCTCTTGAAATAAAAGATCAGTGATTTGCCAAAGAAAATATTATCAGCAAAGCGTGTGATAGCCTCTTCGTTTATGCTCCGGAAGCAGGCGCTCCTTGTGTAGTTAATTAGAGTACAGTGGGTGCACGGTGGTGCTTGGAGTTTAGGGTCAACTTTGCTGTCCGCTCCGTAGATTTTACAGGCGATTTGCTCTTTGCTTTAAGAAGAGAAAGTGATATTGGAAAAAAGTCAGCACTTTAGATTAAAGCAAAGCACCCTTCACAAAGCCACAAACAAGAAGCAGGACAGAAAGTCCATGGCTTGTAGCTATCCTCGCACCTGCGGAAGAAGTTATAAGATATTCGCTCATCTTGAAGATTTCCAATGTTCCTTATTAGGCTGTTTTAAACACATACATTATATATTTAATTAGCTCGCCAGCTTGGCTCTGGTGCTCATGAATGTCTTGGCATGCACTGCAAATAACAACACATACAAAGGATTTCAGTCCCGGGAAGTTGGTGGTGTTTGTTTTGTCTGTTTTCAAACACTGCCATTCCATGGCTGGGAACACCGAGAGGAAAAAATCCAAATACTTTTCCCTCAAGTAATTCCTTGAGGATCACTCCCTATCGTCATTGGTTGTTCCTATATTGGCCTAAAAACACGCCTTGTTTCACTACTGCGGGCTTCTCAACAAGGGGGAGAATGTGCGGTCAGGTGGGTGCGTTTGGGCATTTACTTTTACAGTAAACTTTTTCCTGAAGTACTATCTTGGGTAGGTTTTAAAAAATGAGATCTTCCTTATTTTTTTATCCTTGAAATCTGGGGAAAAGTTAATGCTATTAAGAACTGGAAATTCTTCAAAGAGCACCAAGAGTATCTAAGGGAAGAAATTAAAGTATATGTTGACACTTTTTCTTCCTCTATTTTATACAATAAGCTTCTGGCTACAAATGACATATTAAATAACTTTATTAGTAAAAATTAAAATGTGATGAGGCTCAAAGCATTTTTCTTTTATTGGAGAAAAGTTAAAGGTGTTTGGAGTGGGTACGAGTGGGAACATTCCATCTTTTGAGTATTTCAGCCAAATCATGCTCAGGTCCACATTGGCAAAGATAATAGCTATGTCAGAACCCCTTGTTCTCAAAAAGTCACTGTACACACAGCATAAATATTTGGGGCTTTGAATGTGGCCATTTAGCAGACTCACATTGGTTTATTGTTATTGATTTTCTATTAGGTTACTTTAGTGTTGTCATTGATTTGCTTTCTTGGCAAATCAATATAAGGTGGGCCATGTATGTTCCACAGTATCTCCTCACGGAAACCTAGATGCAGACCCGCAGGTTAGTGGTGGGTCTCTGGAGAGTGTTCCTTCCTTCAAGATGGGGGACAAGTTTCAAAAAATGCAAAAGTGATAGTTCAGTCCATGTGTAGCTCTAAGTATAGAGAACATGCAAGGAAAATACATACACTCCATGTAGAACAACTAGCATCAGAACTTTCCAAAATTAAACATGTATTCTTGTTATCTTTTGATGAGAGATTCTTTGACAGGGATTCATTTGATGGACGGAAAAAAAATAAAATGAAATTACTAGATGGCTCCTAAATAGCCAATGGCACTTGATTTGACACAAAATATGTCTGGTATTGAAAAAAGTTTGAACAATATAAAAGCAACAAAACGGTTCACTCTTTTAAAAAAGTATTTTGTGAAATAACGGTTTTCTTTTCAGCACAGGTGTTGCAGATCAGCTCAAATTTCCTGAAACTGCACTGTGTCTTACGTGGCTCCTTCTCAGCTAATCATCCCTGCATGGAAACACCTGACCCCGCCAGCCCTCTAAACTATCCAGGGAGCAGCTGCTTCATTTCAACCCAACGTTTCCTATCATAGTACGTCCAGCATGTGCAAGTTAAAGCATAATTTAATGACTACTATAACTGAAAAGATACCCAATTATAGTGCAAAGACATTTTGAGGCCACTAAAATTTTGAGCTGCCACCAGATATGCACTATGCTATTACAGCAGAGTATACTTTTCTTCAGGTTATAGTCATCCATCCACCTAGGTGCACAATTTTACTAGCATATTGTTAATTAAATGAAATTCATTTCTAGCAGGGCAATGATACAGTTTTTTCTTATATACTAAGTGCTGAAGCACATCTATATTGTCATCAGGGGGTTCTCTTCCTGCTTTTTATGGATATTATGAATGAAGAGGTATGCACCCCTTTATCTTTGTAGCTCTGAAAACTTTTAGACAGTGAAATCTGAGACTCTGAAATGCTGTAACGTGTCCTGTGTAATTTTCACAAATAACCATCATAGTCATTTTCATCCAGATTTATACTACTTTCATAGTACCATTATTGTTTATCAAACATACTATGATTTATTTGATTGCCATATCTAAAAAATATTTTTTTTGTGACAAACTTTGGCCCCTCCTCACACCCTGTGCTCGTTTCCACACACAGAAACGCCGACTTTTGTGCAATCCTGAGAGTCAGCGTTGCTGCCGGGGTCCCTGAGTTCTAATTTCCTTGGCTGCCCCTCACTTCTGACGTCTCAGATAAGATGCTTATTTTTTCTATGTTTCCTAAGATAAGCTCATAACTGTCCATGTATTATTGTTTTATTTTTTCAAATTAGTGTTCCAGGCACGGGGCTACAGTAGGATCGCCTATATTGCTTTACTGGTTTCTTTTGTTCCTTGCTGTAGGTTGAGGTCAAGCAGGATAACTTGTTATTCCCCTAAAGCCATCACCCCACCAGCTGTCTGGCAGCGCCTGTCCCTGCATTTCCGCAGTGTGTGCTCCGGCTTCCCGGGGCTTCACCCGGCCTGCCTGCTGCGGCCTGCATCTGCTCCCTGTCGCACTGCTAGCTGGTTCAGAGGAAGGAGGGACTTTCTAGTGATGTTTTTATTACTTTCAATGTCTAAAACAAGGCCTTGAGAGTTTCAAAACTTTGCCCCCAACATAAAATGCCCTGTGAAGAAGCAAGGGAGGTGCTACTATGTAAATTATGTTAAGAAAATGGCCAGGCCACAGGCCTGGGTGGAGAGTAGCCTAATCGGACCTGCAGCTTGCTTTTGGACTGAGAAAGCCATTTCATAACATCCTGCGACTTCTAATAATGACGCCTTTCGTTTGTTTTTATGCGTAAAGATTTCACAATGCTCTCTCGGGTGTAATTCTCCTTGTACGGCAGAGGAGGCATTTTCTGCATCCTGTAAACAGAAGCGTCTATGAAGTCCTCTTAGAAGCGCGCGGGGCAGCTCGCAGGCACTGACTTCTAACGGCGCGACAGCGCCAGGCTGGCCGGGAGAAACATGGCAAAAGCCTGAAAGACACTATCTTCACTTTCATCATTGTTTCAGAGAATAACAGAATTCCATCCATTTCTTATAGAGACAAAAAGAGCAAGATTAAAAACAATCGAAGCGCAGCAGTCAAGACACGCTCCCTGGAAGCCTGGGCGGCCGGGCGGGCACCACAGCGGCTCACGCGGGGTCCCCTCCCGCCCGGGACAGAGCGCGCCGCGCCCGTCTCCGCCACCGCACGGCTCACGCGGGGCCCCCACCCGCCCAGGACAGAGCGCACCGCGCCCGTCTCCGCCACCGCACGGCTCACGCGGGGTCCCCTCCCGCCCGGGACAGAGCGCACCGCGCCCGTCTCCGCCACCGCACGGCTCACGCGGGGCCCCCCACCCTCCCGGGACAGAGCGCGCCGCGCCCGTCTCCGCCACCGCACGGCTCACGCGGGGTCCCCTCCCGCCCGGGACAGAGCGCACCGCGCCCGTCTCCGCCACCGCACGGCTCACGCGGGGCCCCCCACCCTCCCGGGACAGAGCGCGCCGCGCCCGTCTCCGCCACCGCACGGCTCACGCGGGCCCTCCCGCCCGGGACAGAGAGCACCGCGCCCGTCTCCGCCACTGCACGGCTCACGCGGGGCCCTCCCGCCCGGGACAGAGCGCACTGCGCCCGTCTCCGCCACTGCACGGCTCACGCGGGGCCCTCCCGCCCGGGACAGAGAGCACCGCGCCCGTCTCCGCCACTGCACGGCTCACGCGGGGCCTTCCCGCCCGGGACAGAGCGCACTGCGCCCGTCTCCGCCACCGCACGGCTCGCGCGGGCCCTCCCGCGCGGGACAGAGAGCACCGCGCCCGTCTCCGCCACTGCACGGCTCACGCGGGGCCTTCCCGCCCGGGACAGAGCGCGCCGCGCCCGTCTCCGCCACCGCACGGCTCGCGCGGGCCCTCCCGCCCGGGACAGAGCGCACCGCGCCCGTCTCCGCCACCGCACGGCTCGCGCGGGGCCGCGCCCGTCTCCGCCACCGCACGGCTCGCGCGGGGCTGCGCTGTCTCAGCCACCACCGCGGCGAGGGTGCAGGCGGGAAAGGCCGCGCGGGAAGCAGCCCCGTCCGGGTTGCGGGCCATGCGGGCACCGCAACGCGCGGAAACGCTGCAGCGGCAGCCGCAGTCTCCGAGGCCAGCGGCGCTGCTCCAGTGTCCCCGCATCTGCTGAATCCAGATGTGGGGACATCGCCTAAATATCTGCTCATCCTTCCCGAGAACACGCACCAGATATAACATGCTTAAGGGAAAAACCTTATTTGATACTTAACTTTTTCTCAACTCTGAACTGATACATATTGGATATAAAAACATTACCATCCTCTTGGTTTTCCTAACCATTAATGATAAGTAAAGCTTGATTTGCTCTTCACAACGAGCCCGCTGGCTATCGTATAAGATAGTTCGAAGTTTCGATGTTCGACTTTTACAATTTAAAGATTCCTCTGAATTCAATTGCGTGTTAGTGTGAGACCTGGCTCCACCGTTCTGCAGATATGCTTCTCTTCTTTCCAAGGACTTCTCTTTTCCAAGCTTTTGATTCAAATTTGAAGTTGTAGGTCAAAATGCCATCGTCAATTAGTGACAAGGAAGGGATGAGATTAGAGCTCTTGGCTGTCAGGAAAGATCACCCGGAGAGAAGGGCGCAGTACTTCAAAGTACTTCAAAGTACTGATAAGCAGAATTGAGACACCTCCCTAAACAATTTCTCCTGTGTACATTTTACCAGTTCTCCAAATATCCACCTTCTCTTGGCTTTGAATATTTTCTGACAGATTAATTTTCTGCGTAATTTCCTACGCAAACTAGCTGTTTAGCGGGACACAGGCGGCTCACGGGGCTCCCTCTGCAGAGTTAGGCCTGACGCTCCGCAGGCTTTTCTGTATCTTCTTGTTTGAGTTTTTAGTGGAAGCCAACGGAGCCAGAAAAAAAGAAGAGAGCCATTTCCCTCCCAGGGTGGCTCCCTGGTGAATGCTCCAGAACATCTGTAAAAGTGAATAGCAGCGCGAGGCGCATCACGAGAACTGACCTACACGCGGAAGCCCTCCGCCCGCAGACGCTGCAAGAGCCGCAACTGCTTGCGTGCGGAGAAGTCCAGTTTGCTG